TGCTAACATATTATGGATCACAAATTATCCATAATATGGATAAAATTGTACGTATTACAGACAATTTGATCCATATTACAGACATGCCCTCCTCCGTAAGGTATAGACCTTTCGTCCATACCCTACGGATGAAGGCATGTCTGTAATATGGATCAAATTGTCTGTAATACGGACAATTTTATCCATATTATGGATAATTTGTGATCCATAATATGTTAGCACAAAATTCACCGTAAGCGTGTCTATAAGGAAATGAGAGTGCAGTGTACGAATACGGCTCCACTGTAGACAGTTTTGTCCGCGCTTTTGCCTTACAGTGGTCCTGTACATTGCTCCCTGTACCAAATTTTAACCATTAAAACTACATCGATGCTGTTATTCGAATAACAGAAGTTCCTGGAAAATAATTAGCAGGACGATCTGTAGTTTTCCTGTCATAATTTTTTGCAGTGTACCAGAAGTCGGATGGCACTTGAAATTTTTCCTGAACCTCACAGTTACTAGGGGTTTACTTGAGCCTTACAGTGTTTTTTGTCTCAAATATCCCTCTATCGCCTTAACGGTACAAAATAGAGCAAAACGGACAAAATTTTGTTCCGAAGACCGCTACTTTGACGAGTTACTCCTAAGAACACAGCTTTACATTTTTCAAAACACGTCATTTTTGAAAACCTTACTCCTAGGAGGGTAGGCCTACCCTATAATCGGAGATTTAAACCTGAAGAGGTTCTATTGTCAAACTTTTTTGTGGCCAAAGGGATTCGTCTGGCTCGCTGAGTTCGAATCTGGTAGGACTGAAGCCATATGGGCCCCCGACGTCATCTGGGACCTCCGCTTCGAGCGCCCCGAGCGCGACACGCATGGGCGCGGCGGCGCGCGCCTTGACGTGTAACTACTTCTCACAATAAAATTATGTATATTCTAACATGACTGCTTATAATGCAGCCGCGTAAGATATAGTGTTACTTAAACGACAGCAGCGAAGGAAGAGCGAGCATTCGCCGAAGAGTCGTCTCGAGGAGAAGACCGTGTGCAGGTTGCTCGACCCTAAACAGTCTAGTTGTTGGGGAGCAGAGTTCGCCTGCCGCCAGCCGCAAGGGAGACCAGGGAGACCTAACCATCCACTTGCCCACCCCAAGAGATGGCGCCCAATGTTAAGGAAGCCCCCCTTTACACCGGAGTGTTGGACGAGGGCGAGCCCGTACCAGACTACCTGAGCGCCATCGCCACGGCGGAGGCCGAGGAGAAGACCAAGTCGTACCGCGAGCTGCAGCCCATCCTGTGGGACCGCGTGGCCGGTCACCTCGTGTTCAACCTCCTGTCCGTCTACGCCGTCAAGCTCATCTTCACGGACGCCAAGCTCCTGACCACGGCATGGGGTAAGCACAACATGCGGATAAGAGGACGGGGACGGAGGGTTGGAAGCCCCGAAAAGTTTCCGGGAAATTTCCGGTAATTTTTTGAAAAAAGCAGTAAATTTCCGGGGAAAAACGAAAAATTTCCCATAATTTGGAAAATTTCCGTTTTTTCCTGGAATTTTTCGGAATTTTAGAAAATTTACAAACCTAAGGGGACGTTCAAATACAATGTGTGCCCTAGGGGACGGGGGAGGGGCAGGAATGTGATGGTCCCCTGGCCCCCATTCATGATCACCATTTTTGAGTAAATTCGGAGTAGAGAGGCCTGACGACATCTGTTTCCCTCATAGCCTTCCTGCTGTTCATCGCGGGTAACCTGGGCGTCACCTCGGGCGTGCACAGGCTGTGGAGCCACCGGGCCTACCGGGCGAAGCTGCCGTGCCGGCTGCTCCTGGCCGCCTTCTACACCATGAGCTGGCAGGTGAGTCCCCGTCCCTCATACTCACGCGACTAGGGAATTTACAACCCGAAATTTTCCGGAAAAAATCGAAAATTCGAAAATTCAAAAATTCGAAATTTTTGAAAAAATTTGGAAAAATCAAACTTTTTAGGAAAACATCAGAGATTTTTCAAGGCTTGAAAAATCTTCCACAAACACTTTCCTGGAAAATTAAAAATACCTACACGGGAACTGCTCCGGACTGGGCGGACACGAGAGACACACGCTCACGCTCACGCTCTTCCAGGGCACCATCTACCAGTGGGCCATCGACCACCGCGCGCACCACAAGTTCACCGAGACGGACGCCGACCACGTGAACGCCCGCAGGGGCTTCTTCTTCTCGCACATCGGCTGGCTGCTCTGCAAGAAGCACCCCGACGTGATCCGCTTCGGGAAGACGATCGACTGCTCCGACCTGCTCGCCGACCCCGTGGTCTACTACCAAAAGAAGTAAGCCACTCCTGTTTTTTTAAAAAAACAATAACAATCCATGTCGACATTTTACAGTCAATGTTCTCCCTGCTGTGCAACAAGCTGTAACTGTCATCGCTTTCCCCCGCCCGTCTCAGGTACTACTACGTGTTCATGCCGATCCTGTGGTACCTGATCCCCGTGGCCGTGCCCATGCTGCTGTGGGGTGAGACGCACTCCAACGCCTTCCTCGTGGCCGTGGCGCTCCGCTTCACGCTCGGCCTGCACGCCATCTTCCTCGTCAACTCCGTCGCCCACATGTTCGGCTCACGCCCCTACGACAAGTGAGTAGCGCGTGACGACGCTGACCGACAGGGTCATACAGGGTGGTCCACAGACCCCTTCCTTTATTTTGCTTATACTGTACCGCATGCA